GTTTTGACAGTTTGTGATTGAGGTTTTAATGTTCTGTATATCACTTTGAATCTGTTTCATACATTCTATTTCTTTCCTAAATTGCTTATTCAGGGGTTCCATCATTTTTATATTCTGCTCTATTTTTTTTTTATCAGTGTATTCTTTAGAAGTACTTAGTATTTCTTTGATTATAGTTATCACTACACTTTTTTGTTCAGAAATTATTTCTGATCTGATTTCTTCTATACCTTTCTGCAGTTGTTTCTTTACTTCCACCATTATTATTTCAGAGATATGAGGTGTGTGATTTCCAGTTTCCTCAGTGCTAGTGTCTTCTGTATTTGTACTGGGTGGACTCAGGGTCTGAGACTGCATTTTGTTCCTTTTCTTTGTCCTTTTGTATACCACTGTCTTCTGACCTTTGGTGTAGAGCTTTATAGATAGAGTTATTACTTTAGCACCAGGTCCAGATCTACAAAGTTCAGATTCCTTCAGGTGGGTGTTGCTTGGATCTGGCTGGGGTGTAGCTGTTGTGCTCCACTTCTTCCTACTGCAGCCCTTGGAGTTGAACCCTTTGTGTCACTCTGGCAAGATGTTCTGCTCCTGAGTCAGATGGGTGGTTCTTGCCTCTAGCTTCTTTGCAGGGAGTTCTGCTGAAGGGTTCCATGCTGGGCCTGCACTCTGGGTTGAATGAGGATCCAGTGGGCCCTAGGCTGTCTCATTCACAGGCCAGGCCTGCACTCTGGGTCTATTCAGAATCCGTGGGCCCCGGGTGGTCTCACTCACATGCCGGGCCTGTACTCTGGGACTATTCAGGATCTGGCAGCCCCAGGTGGTCTCACTCACACACCAGACATGTGCTCTAGGCATGTTCTTTAAAAGCAACTGGATAATTACAGATTCCTCAATTTTTTTTTTTTAATGTATTTAGTATAGGGTCTACAGGGTCTCACTACATAGATCTGGACTCATAGTGATTCTTCTGTTTTTAGCCTCCCTAGAGCGGGATTACAGGCGCCCACCACCACGCCCAGTCTCAATCACTATTTCTGTGTGCCCCAGGGGCGGGGCCAGTACAGCAGGCAGGGGATCGAACCCCAGCTGCTGCGCTCTGCCTAAGCAGGTGCTTTAGTCCACTGAGCTATCCAGCCAGCCCAGATTCTTCAATTTGGATGAAGTCTTTGTTCCACCTTACCTCTGTATCATTTTACAGCACTTGCACCCCATCTGGCTTTCTTTGGGTTACCATCTGGAAAAGAAAGTACAGAAAGGAGAGAACATCACGAATGGCACTGTGGCAGGAATTCAGTTGACTTTTATTCCCAGAAATGCTCAAAATTCAGAGTTGCAAATTTCAGCAAAGGGTAACGCATGGACCAGGGGGGACACAGAGTACCCAGAACAATGTCACTCTCCAGGGGCCAAGTCAGAGTTCTCAAATTGTACTGACACTTGCCTCTGTGCCAGACCCTGCCCCAATCATATGAGCTATGTAGTTTATCCCCCATTTTACAGATGAGTAAGCTATGGGTGCAAGAATGCCAGAGCAAGAATGGGCTGATCCCTTGTCTCATGCACTGGAGCACCTTTATGGAGCATCCAGGAAGCGCATGTGGACACGGTGCATGGCAAAGCAGTAGGAGCCATAAAATGGTCCGGGATGATTCCCTTGCTAGGGGTGAGCTGTTCAGGTCTGATGGGGTGCTGCAGCGAATGTCTCCGAAGGAGACACTGGGGTCTTGACCACTCTTATTCTCTTACTTCCCACCTGCCATGAGGTGAGCAGCGGGCTGCATCTACCACATGTTGTGATATCGTGTGTCCACAGCAACAGGGCCAACAGACCGTGCGAGCCCACACAGCCTTTCCCTCTTTATATAGATTAGCTTGTGTTGATGTGACTGACAGATTACTTGAAATCAACGAAAGGAGGAAAGGACTGATTTGGCTCGTGGCTTCAGGGGCTTCTGTCCTTAGTTGCTTGTACCAGGACTTTGGGCCTGTGGCAAGGATGGCCTCATGGCAGACAGTGCATCAGGGAATGAGCTGCTGCTTGCTCCATGGAAGGCAGAACCTGTCTTTGTACAGATACACATGCTTTCTGTTACTGAGGTAATCTGGATAGGATTCATGAACTCTGTTGTCTTGCAGGTCAAATAAATATCTCTGGGGTTTTCTGGCAAAGATAGATTCAGTTTTCATCTTTACATCATCCCTTTCTCTTTTCCAAGCTTAATCTCCCCACCCTATTTCCCTCTGAACAAAATCTCTTCATGTAAAACTGGCCATTTTCATCCATTTAGAAAAATCCTAAAATATTCATATGGAAGTATCTCCTAAGTCAGTCTTTATTCTAATACCTATACCTTTTCAAAAGATTAACATCTGTATTACTCAGCTTTCTTATTGCTTATTGGTACTGACACAATACCCAATACTCAGAACAGAGAGGAGGTTTAATTTAGCTCATGATTTAGGGGACTCAGTACTTGGTAGGTTGGTGCCAGTGCACCATGGAGGCCGGAAAGCAGAGCAGGAGAGCAATGCCAGAGAGGAAAGACGGATCAGATAGGGGACCCAGAGTCACACCTCATGACCCACCCAGCCACCCTAAAAGTATGCTGTATCAATCTGTTAGGCAGTTCCCAAGTCACTCCAGTTGACATAATTAATCAAGTTAATTGTGCTGGCTGGAATGGCTTGTGTTTTCCTGGCTGGTTTCAAGTTCCTTAGCTCAAGGGGCCCTCTCATCTCAGCCTCCTGAGTAGGTGGGACTCCAGGCACACGAAACCTGCCTCATTAGCTGATATACATGGTTAATCTGTGAATAGTAATATACAGAAACCTTCTGTGAAAGTAAAGAGCTTTTTTTTCTTTTTTCTAATTTTAGTTTTAGTAAGAAGATTCCTACTGAAGTAAAAACATACGAATGTACATTTTCTGGAATACTTTCCATGTGCCCCTCATCACTTTATGGGTGCATAGTTACACTGGATACAAACCATAGGAGAATCAGAAACATGATGAGAAATCACAGACCTATAAACAATGTAAAGCCCTTGATTGTCACCACGGCTTTCAAAGATATGCCAGGAATCACATGACAAAGAAAACATACCACTCTGGCGAATGTGGAAAATCAATCATTTCTCTTAAAAATCACACAAAACACATGCCATTGCACACTAGAGATTGACATTATAAAGGTGTAGACTGGACTTTCTAGGTTTCAATTTCTTTTTAACACATGAAAGGATTCACACTGCAAAGAGGCCCTATTATTGTCAAAAACGTAGAAAAGCTTCCACACATTTGAGAACCATTAGAAGACATAAAAGGATTACTCACACTGGATAAAAACCACATCTTTGTAAAAAAATGTCAGAAAATTTTTAGTCACCCTTGTTCTTTTAAAGTTCATGAAGAAAAGCCCCTTGAGTATGAAGAATGGGGAAAAGACTTTGTATGTTATGATCATTTTTAAACCCATAGAAGGATTCACACAGGAAATTTCACATAGAAACCCTTTAAAGCCTTTAGAATACATGGCAGGATTCACATAAGGGAGAAACTGTATGTAAAAAATATGGGAATTCCTATCTATCTATCTCTCTGTTTTTTTTTAAAAAACCAGGAATTGAACTCAGGACCTTGTACTTACCAGGCAGGTGTGAAACTCCTTTAATGACCCTAGTTCTTTCAAAGTTAAAGAAAGGAGTCACACTAGAGATAAACCTTATGAATATGGAAAAGGCCTCAGCAACTGTGGACCATGAAGTAAGTCCATGGAGTAAGTCACACTAGAAAGACACTCCCACCATCTAATCAGTATGACAAGAATGTGGAAAGGAATGTGGGAAAGCCTTCAGGGATTTTGTTCTGTAAGTCTATGAATGGATTCATACTGGCTAGAAAACTACGACCTTAATCTATGTGTCAAAGCCCTGGCTCACTCTACTTCTTTTTCCCTTTATTAATGTATTCATTAGCAAGAAAGTTTGTGGGTGTATGTAGTGTGTGAAAGCCTTCAGGAATTCTGTCTCTTTTCAAGTCCATGGAAAGATTCATGATGGAATCAAACATGAATATAATTTTTCTTTCCATTTCATGTATGCAGTGTCTGGATGAAGGAAGCATATGTGGGATATGGTGATAGTTACAATTTTACATAGTTTAATATTTTACTGAATAATAATCCACTGAAAATGATATTGGTAATTTTTTTATCTTTATTGGTCTACAGAGCAGGTACTTGGTGTCACTTTTTAGAATAAGTAAGCAGATACTTTGTATTACTTTTCTTATTAGAATATAAGAAATAGACTTTAAAACTCAAGGCTGAAGAGATTTGCTGTTTTCCTTTCCAAAAAATCTGTAATTACATAATACTTATGTGGACTTATATAACTTACTGTTCTGCTAGTATATATCTGATACTACTTTCAATAAAATTTATTTTAAAATACAAGATGTAACCATTTATGGTTAAGATTTGAATGTTTTGAGTCTTTATAAGAAATTCATATACTTTATCTAGAAAGATTCAAGGAACAAGAATTTGAAGAGAAAATTTTAACATGTTCTAATTTTGTGGTGTTATACAAATGGAACACTAAGCACTGAAGAGTACTAGACTGGTTAGTTGTTTAGAGGGGACTACATTTACTACACTTAAAAAAAATTGATAAACAACTTGTTGTAACCTAAAAAATGGCTTCCGAAGAGGTCTCTGCCCGAATTCCTCAATTTGTTATTTGCTTTACAACAAAAATCAATCTCTGCAGGTTTGAAGCTGCACTGAAGTTAAGAATTTTGAGAGATTTGCTTGTCAGGCAAACCCCCAGTGCAATTCCATGTCTGCTTAGAAGAGAGATGTTCGGTCATAGCAGAGGGAGAGACAATGTCACCTCTCAGGCAGAGATCAGAGCAAGCTGATCACAAGGTAAGGAGGAGGCAAGAAACAGAGTTACCTCTAGGAGACGTGTGGCCCGGGGAACAGCTTCATGTCAGCGCAGTGACACCAATTTCAAGAATTTTTGCCTCTAGGGCCTTGAGAGAGTGACTTCGGTTGCTTTAGTGATTTCTTGGAGCAGCCCAGGGATTAAATGCACCTACGAGTCACTTCAGTACCAAATCCTTGGGCATAATTTGTCACTTTCTCTCCTCATGTCTTTCCTTTTCCTCCCTAGAAGGTGCTGCTACCCCTGGATATTTGATTGCAGGTTTGAATCTGACCCACCCTGTCCACCATGATGGGAGTGCTCTGAGGCACGGATGGGGGCCTCCTAGCCCTGGGTAACAGCTCTCTGCAGAACTACTGGGCTTTTCTACAGCTTAAAAATGAGGGCAGGGTCTGTAAGCCTTTGGGACAGCTGTGATGAATCAAGACATTTGTCGTTGGCTGACCATGTCACTTCGGAGTTATGAGTAAGTGCTGGGGAGAGAAATATCTGGTTCCGAGCCCCACTGTGCTTCTAGCTCACTGAGTGACTCTGGGTCTCAGCCACTGCATCTCTGCAAGGGGATAATAACACACCACACAAGTTAATATTCAGCGTCAGCATAAATCAGAGTATTACCTAGCATTGCCTGAACAAAGCATACTGAAATTTCTTCAAAGAGATGTACGCCTTGTACTCATGAAAAACACATGAGCTAGACCTGCAAACCACAACATTAACAATGCCCAGGAGTCTTCCTTACTGGAGTAAGGGGCAGATTCTGTATCTCTTTCAACTTTGACTGGGACTGAAGGACCAAAGCCCTGAGCACAACACCAGTCACACAGAGACAGAAATCGCTGAGGGGCCTGAAAGGACAGTGGAATCACCCAGTTTCCAAAGCTTGGGATTTTGTTCCCAGCCCCTGCTCTCCACTGAGGCCCCCATTTCCTGCTAGCATCAGAGATCAGCCTGAGAAGCAGGACCGGCAACGCATGTCACGGGCTTCACAGCCTCTCCTCCCTGTGCCTTTCTCTCCCTTTTCCGCACTGGTGCGGCACTCCTTGCCCTTTCCTTGCGTGCAATGCCTCTGCTTATCTAGGACTCTTTAAACAGAAAAGCAAGCAGGAAGATAGGTATTAAAGAAAAAGTCCAAGCAAAGGAAAATGTGGCTCAGAAGTGTCTGAGAAAGAAGGCAGACGATGGATTGTGATCGTGCGGCTGCAGCTATTGTCAAGCAGGGATCTCAGAAAGACATCAGGCCAGCTCTGTGAGCTTTTGTAAGTGGGAAGGGGAAGAAAAAGAGGGA